AATATGTGATTTTGATTTGACTAGAACATTTAGGTGCAAGAGGAAGTGTTACTTTCTAGCATGTTGAAATCAATAATTAAAGTAAAAGTTGAGGAGTAAATCATATCAAGGAACCCTCTTATGCCCCGAGATTAAAGTTCGAATTATTTTTCTTTTTAAAAAATATACAAGTAGGTAGCATTTAGAAAAGCAAGATCGGTGATTGCAGCAATTCGTGGAACATGTGGTTCTTCACAAATACCATCAATGAAACGTCTTTAAATCCTTTTCTCTACAAATACCAAGAATAAAACATGATACCAAAGGAGTTGGGGAAAAAAAACTTATAATTGAATCAGAACTGATTTGCCATGAGTTTATAACTCATATTTATAATAAGAGACCTCATACTATTAGAAAATAGTTAAGTCCATTCCTTGCTAAAAATGAAAATAATGAAGATAATTAGTGTTGGTGAAAATACCAAAAAAAATTATATTTTATTGATAAATGATGCAAAGAAAATGAGATACAAATAGATCAGGTTGGGACACTGATATCTCGTTTTCTTTGCATCATTTATCAATAAAATATAATTTTTTCTGGTATTTTCACCAACAATTTTAAGGAGATCAAACCCACTGCAGTAGGAAGAACCCCAATACCGTGCATCAATCACAAAACTATGACTTGTCCCTCAAGGATACAACAGTCCGATCACTTTTCGTATGGTTCAGGCCAACTCTGCACAAGATGGTGAATCCAAAACTCTACCAATAAAACACCCTTCTTTGTTAGTAATCTCTCTTGTATAGAAAATAATTGATGTGTTAGTGGTGTAGAAAAGAATAGATGAGAGAGACTATTAATAGGCCACTAGGACCTTACAGTTACACAAAAAAATAATGACCATTAAATAAAAGAAAATGGTTACACCAAAATAATGACCATTAACCAAGTAAAAATAGATTCTATTTAACCTCCATTTATGACCAAGAGGTTACCAAAGTAATGAAATCTCATTTATAAAAAAGATAAATCAATAAATAAATATAAGATATTAAAATGATCCAACAATTAAAAATTTGCTAACAATGATAAATTTGAGTTAAGCCACTATTTGAATAATATAAAGTTGTTTCAAAACAAATGGCAGTCGAGTAGAAAATTCTTAGAGAAAGCTATTACTAGAACAAATATTTTTGAAAAGCCAATAAAATCACAAATTTGGAGGTTCAAGTAAAAAGAAAAAAAAAATTTGTTCAAAATTGTTTTAGGTATGATAAAATAGTGAGTTTTACAATTTGAACAAATTTGGAGTGAGTACCTACAATTACTAAAGTGCACATAGCATAGACAAGCTAATCGTTAAAGTAAACCTAGGTAAAATGATGAACACAAAAACTGATCATAAAATCAGACACATAATAAACATGAATAGACAAGATTTTACAAAATTTATTAGTAGAATCTCGTCTAATTTTGAAATCAATTTCTATGTTCTTATACATATTCTAATGGATCTTGCTACCAAGTGCCTCTAAAGCACAAGTAAAAAATAAAAAAAAATTAAAGAACACAAGATATTTTTTTACTAAACTTAATACATTTTTACTAAAACCAATATATTTTTTTAACATTTTTACATATTTGGGAGGAATTTTTTACACACTCCCAACATTAAACAATACCCATTAGATACTTGCTTGCATTTGCCTATTCTAAAAACAAAACAAGAATGCATGAGTGAGTGGCATTGATGTTGTGGTTAAACATGATGTACATTCTTTTTAATAATATTATCATATTTATTTATATTTTTATTTATCATAATAATTTATATAAATGACGAGGACCATTAAATGATATCAAGTAGAAATCTGAATTAATTTTATACTGGTTAAATAGAGTACACAATTAATATTTTATTGAAATAAATCTTAGTTTGATTTAAATTTTGATTCTTGTTACTTCATTAATCCTGTGGGTTCGTTTGTACCAGGGCTACCTAGCAAGCTACCCCAATTATTTAAAGAATTTGTTACATACGGAATACTACTAATGAAGTGAATGATATATATATATATATATATATATACATATATCAGTTGATATAAGTATAAGTGGTTGATGACCTGATCATGTCTCCTCTCTCTCTCTCTCTGTCTCTCTCTCTCTCTTATATGCTGGTAAAACAAACATTAATCTTGGAATATATGAAAACTCTATCCTTACAAACACATACACTGTCAATTACATATTGTTTTTTTTCTTTTACTTTTTTAGATATTAATTATACGTTGTGTTTAGTTGAAAGATTTATGAAGAGGTTTGGAAAAAGAAAGAGAAAAGGTGTATGAAACAAAGTGAAATGTAAGTATATTTTATTCACATTTCACTTACGTTTTTCATTTTCCTTTTCAAACTCCTACTTAAATTCTTCAATTAAAAACAATATTAGTATCTAAAGTACTATGTTTTGTGCCATTTTGATTATCAAAATTTCCATTGTCAATTTTAGGACAATGTATCAAATGTGTTAAAGGAGGTTCTCATGATTGATGCTGTCAATACTCAACGTTAGGATGAAAAGTATTTTTATGGGAAAAAAAAATTAGTCATACACAATGTGTAAAATTAAAATGAAAAAAAAAATAAAAAAAATTGAATGAAATATAAATTAATTTTTTTCTCTATTTCTCTTTCTTTTTTTTAAATCTTTATCTAAATTTATAATTCAAACACACTGTAAATAAAGTAGAAATTAAAAAATATTCCTGAGAAACATTATATGCACCCTATAATTAAAAAAATGACATAATTTCATATTTTCTGGATTATAACTAAAAAAAAAATATCATAACTAAACAAAACATGAAACATACCTAAAGAACTCATAAGTTATAATTAAAATAACATTATAACTAAAAAAAAATAATCATAATTAAAAACTAAATAAATTAACGGAACTATGGTGCATACACGTACGGGGCCAAAGAAGGCCGATGGGGTCAAATACCCCTCCCCCCTGGTTCTGAACCTTTTTTTTTTTCATATACAAAATGTATAACCTTTTTTCTTTACACGTTCTTCAGCTAAGGGTTTATTATATTATTCATAACAAATTATTATTTGATACCTTAGAAATACTATATGATATTATTTATGTAGTAGTCTAAACCAATAGTGTAGCAGGAAATTTTATTAATTAGATGTAATGAACTATTTTTTTAGGTAATCGACAGATCACTTACTGTAATTTGTGATTTCTTATGCTTCAAGTATCACATAGGTAACGTCATATAGTACTCTAAGACTATTTAATACTTTTTATTCAAAATACATCATTTATAAGCAATATCATCTCTTTAATATTTTTTTGTCAAATAAAAATTAAATAGATTTCATAATAATTTGTGTTATAAATGATATGTTTTTATTTTCTAAAATTAGGGATTTTGATCCATGATTTTTTATGCTAAAATTACAACTTACATCACCATCCCACACTTAGTTATTCGACACTATTATAAAATTTTGATTTGTTTCTATTAATAATGAATATTTATTTTATTTTTTTTGGCTTAAATTTAGCTCATAAAAATATTTTTATCTTACTGTTGATCACAATTTTTTTCAAATAAAAAATTATAATTAATAGGCCTCCCTCTAACTTAATTTTCTAATTCCATCCTTGAGCGCATATGATACAGCCTCATTAGAATTTCCCAATATTCCTACTCCAATTTTTTAATTAAACCATTTCTTCTCAAACTGTAAAGATAACCTGCATCAAATACTACGATATGAATTTCTAAAATCAGAGATCCAAAAGGGCTTCCAAGCTATGGCTATCACATTATAGAATACAAACTATCATTTAAGCTGTATTTAGATTATAAATTTAACTAAAAATTTAAATAAAAAAAGATAAATGAAAAATGTAAAAAGTCTGTGAAATCTAATTATATTTCATTCAAATTTCACCCATAATTTTTTTTTCTTTCCAAGGGTGTAAAAATGACCCAGCCCAGCTCACCCAGGCTCAAGCTGGCCCAACTTCAAGCCTAGAAGTCTCCCGCCAAAAATCAAACCGAACTGGGCCACTCACAAAATCTTGGCCCAAGCCCGAGGTGTACTCAGGATTAGATCAAGCCTAACTACTTTTTTTTATTTTTTATTTTATTTTTATTCACCAAAATAGATTTAAAATGTCATTAAACCTCGGGCAGGCTGAGCCTTGAAATGGGCCAAGCCAATTGAATCGAGTTCACAAGCCAGACCGGTCCCCAAAAACACACAATCTAGGCCCAAGCCTAAGAGATGGGCTCTGGCTCGAACCTGGCTGCTCCGGACAACGGGTGGGTTTTGAGTTGACAGCAGGCCTGAGATGATTTTACACCCCCACCAAATCTCTATCCAAATCTATAAATCAAACACAACTTTAATCTCAAAAAATAAAAAAATAAAAAATATATACAAAAAATACGAAAAAACAAAACTTAAAAAAAGAATTGAAACATTTTCCTATCCAAATCCATGCTCCAAACACAGCTTAAATAGTAGACATTAGGGACTTCTAGATATACCCAAATCAGATCTCCTTCTCCATCACTATGTTAATTATAATCTCAGAATCTCCTCATATCCCTTCATTGGACTATAAAAAAAATCATAAGCTTCCACAGACTGAATGACTCAACCTTGAAATTAATTTGAAATTGCAAAGGAACAAGCAATTATAATGAAGATCAATAAAAGTCGCCTTTTCTGTACATCCAACAATGTGTTCTGATGTTTACAGCATTAAATTTTTTGCCCCAAAATGGCATTTAAAAAAAAAAAAGAACAGGAAAAGAAAAGAAAGTGAAGTGATTAACAAACAATAAACTCGAACAATTAAACATTCCCTCGACAATCCTTCAATCTATTTTGAATAAAATACAACTTTTTTCCCAAACGTAACAACGTAACATTTAAAAAAAAAAAAAAAAAAAAAAAAAAAAAACACCATTAATGCATTCTCAGAACACCACCAGCAGGGTTCACCATAAAATCTACCTAAAAACCGATACACCTACAACCATGTTTGTCGTTAGTTTAGTTTAAAAATAGATAAAAGCCATCAATTCACCCTCTGAAAACTGTTACATTTCAATTAGATTCAACAGGTAAATTCTGCAGGGTGTGTAGCCCAGGGAAAGGTCATTTGAGCTTTAACTTCAATGAACCACTGCAAACACGTATAATTATGGAGAGGATCATCGCATTACTGACTCTTTGACATACGCACGCCCACCTGACCTGCAGAAGCAAAAAGTTCGATCTGAGGATATTGCTAGCACACTTATAAAACGGAGTTGACATTGAAAGGCTCTGAAACATATATTATGACTGTAACTTACGCGTATTCAAGATGAATATTCATGAATCGAGGGTTTTCTTTGCTTTGTGATAATGTTACAGATCCACTAATAACTTGATCTTGTTCTACCTCTATTGGATCGTAAAAGTAGATCAATGTCTGCACAAATGATTTGTTAACCAAATTGGCACACGGAAGAAAGATAGAAAATGCATCACTTGACACCATTTTCGAAGAAATATAGCTAATCACCAAAGAAAATCAAGAAACAAAAGGAGTATCCAACAATGTATTGAATGACTAAGCAAGTATAATAGGCTTTGGAAGCTTAAAGTGAAGGCTATGGGTCACACAATCATCAAGAAACCTTTTTAATCCAGACAGAAGTGTCTATGGTAATATTTAGGAACTTTCTTTACATTTCTTCCAAAAAAGCACATCTTGTAGGGTTTCTACAAATACCGCTGACCTCTCCCAAGATTGCAGTTGCATCATAGAACTCCTACTGGTTCTGTTGTTAATATGTTATACAAAATGAAAAGTACCCAATGAAAAGATCACGGGAAAAGTTTTGACAGCTTCTAAAGGCAGGCATCTTCAGCTTAAAGAGAATGATACTGGTACTAATAACTCATTATAAGCAACTTAACAACATGAGGACACCAAATTTCTCCATTAATTTTGATACCTGACAAGTATTGGAATTAGAATCCACTTCATGCACTGAACAGGTATGTTACAAGATTTGCTTCGCCAACACCTCATTTCAGTCATTTGAAACTAGAAGCCACCAGTTTTTTTTTTTTTTTTTCAATTTATAAATTCAGAAATCACAAAGAACAACTATTGGATGCAAAGATTGCCAACCTCTAATAGTAACTCCCAAAAAGCATCTGGCAAGTTCACTCTACTCCTTACTTTTACATGAATCTAGTCAATAAATTTTGGTTGACTTAAATCCAAATAAAAGAAACATAATGAATAATATTCCTTCACACCCTCGTGTCCACCCATTCTTGAGATGTTCAAAAGTTACTACTTCCACACAACCCCGAAATGAGCCAAAAAAATGGCTTTATCTTCTTTCTATGTTCACACATGTCAAATGGGCGATGCAACTACCTAGGAGTTCACACATTTATATGTATCTTAAGTACATGTTCCAGCACAAACCTACTGCAGACAAACAAACAAACAAAAAAGCAACCATCTGGCAATGATTACCTGTTGCCAATGTGTTGGAGGATCCTCAGGTGCAGTAGACAGCACAAGTGCTTCATTGGGATTTGCACGCTTCTTCCTTTGACTACCATCGATAGGATGATCAGTCGGAGACTCGATAACTGAAGATGGTGCATTATTGTCAGTGGGGAATATTGCAGGGCTGCTGAATTCAACATCGAACCAGAAAGCAAACCCGTGAAACGGAGCTGGATGAAAATAAAATTAAAAAATTGAAGTATTAGAATATTACATCACAAAAGTAACAAAAAACCATTTGTAAAACCCTGAAAAGGATTGTGACTTAACAGAAGAGCCAATGTCAAATTTAAACCAAAAATGTTTGCCAGCCTTTTAATTCTTTGAGATAAAAAATAACTTTTTTAGAAGTAAAAAAGAAACTTTATAAAATAAACAGAGAGAAAGAAAACTAGACTATAAAGAAGGAAAAGTACACCAAGAAAAGAGTAAAGATAACAAGATTACATATCGCACGCAACTCTTCAATCTCTACTAATCAAAAACAAAGTGACTCCATTGAAAGCAGGTGACCCTCAGGCCAAAAAAAAATAGTCAAATAACAAAATTTATCCCATAAACCCCCTATATCTGCCTAAGACATTCTTGCATTTCTGTCCAATCAAATTTTCCAAAACACTGCACAAACTACACTTCTGAAGAATTTGGGCTTTCCTATTAAGGCCAAACCCCCACTAATCAATCAACAGCATCTGAGCACGAGAGGGAAATGATAGCAATCCACGTCTACCAATTAGAGCAATCTCTACTTTAGTTGCAGGAACCTCCTCTTGGGGGTGATGAATCTACTTCAAAACAACGATTCTTTGTTAGAGCAAGAATCTAGTTAAAACCACATTCCTAACTGAGATGGGACCTTTTCAACATATGAATCCCAAAGAAAACAAAAAGAAGAAGAAGAAGAAGAAGCTACAAAGTAAGAAAAAATCTATAATAGCCATTAGATTATAGGAAAAAAAAACTTCAATTTATTCTAGTGTTGAATAATTACATAATATTAACATATATTTACACACACAAGGAATAAAAAAAAATAAAAACTGTAATTGACACTAATCTCCAATATATGTTAACATATATATTATAACTGAGGGAAAAAAAATCTCTTACAATATATTATTATAATTATATTGAGATTATATATAAATGCTCCCATAGGCACTACTCTAAAAAGTATGGATACTGACATAGGACATGGACACAACACAATTAAGAAAATGCAGACGCAGCATTTCTCTAAAAATTAAGACACAGTCATGCCAAGGACACTTTCAATAAATAAATATATATATATATATGTATATATTATAAATCAGTATAAAACATTATTTAAATTAAATAAAGAATAACAAACACACAAATAACAAAAATATTATCCAGTTATCAAAAAGACTAATCACTAAATGAAATTCAAGAAATAAGCATTAATATATTTTTTCATTTAATCATTATTCAAAATTCTATAATTTTTTTATCGGCATTCAAAAATTTCATAATTTCACACTTGACACAAACCAAAAGATTGTCTATCCAAAAATTAGTCAACAACTACACAACATCAAGGACGTGAGTTTACTTATTTTTAAATGTAGTGGATACAATGCAGTAGCTTATTTAGCTTATTCTCCCCATCTTCCTTTCTTTTTGAGTATTTATTTAGTTTTTTTTCAAAAAAATAAAATCAGATTTGTGGCCTGAAAGTGTCATTATCATGTCCAAAGTGTGTCCCATAGCAAGTTCTCAACATGTCTCCAAGTGTCAGTAATTCAAAAAAAAATTCATGCACTTATTATACACGTGTATGGGTGTCCCAGATGTGCCTAACACTGATACATTGATATGGGAGAGGATTCCATGCTTCCTAGGCGATTATTAAGATTTTTGGGGGTGAAATTGAAGTTCCAAGAAATATGGATAGAATAAGAAGACACCTTAGAAGCATTATAATAATGAGATAAACAATACAATAAAGGAAATAAATGAGCAAATGAAACCTCAACTCTCCGTACATCCTCCCAAAAGCAGACCTGCCCATTTCTAATAATAAAACAAATGGACCAAGAGAATCAATATAGACCTTGAGAAATAAATTTCTATAATTATCCAGAATTCTCTAGTTAACAACATGAGAATCCCAACTATTGCCCTAAATCCCTTACTCTTAATGACTGTAAGTGATAAAGAATTGCACTAAATCCGATACACTCTTAATGACTGCATGCCGTAAACAATTGCACTCACAAAGAAATGCCCATAACCATTTTCCAAACAAGTCTATATTCTTTTCTGTAATGTTGTCTCAAAGCGAGCCACCTTTATTCTTAGGAAGAAAAAAAATCCCCGACTAATCAAGTGGACTTACCTACCTTCACCACTACCTTCCCACAAGAAATCTCTCATCATTTTTTTTCCAATTTTATTTGTCACTCACTGAAATCTACACAAAGATAAATGATAAGTACACTTAGACTACGTTACACGGACTCGGGTGCGGGTATTGGGTGCGGGTACGTATCTAGGGGTCGGGTACTTCAAAATTAAAAATTAAGGATACGTGGATATGGATCCAAACGAGGGTACGGGTACGGGGATACCCGTGTCGTGTCGTGTCGACACGGGTACCTTCGAAATTCCAAAGAGTCCGTGTAACATAGCACTTAGACAACACATACTGGACCAAAGTATACCTCCCCATTTAGATAACAAGGTTCTCTTCTACCCATCCAACCTCTAACCAATCTTCTAAATCACTAGATTCCAGAAATCTTCAGTATCAGAGATTCAATGGGGCATTCCAAATCACTAAATATTTCAATGGCAAAGATTCAATGGGGCATTCCAATAACCCAACTAATGTTTGTAATCGACCTTTTGGAAGATTAAGCCCAATTATGGTGCTTTTATTCATATTCTCCTTAAGCCCTAGAAACCATTTTAAAAACTCTGAATATAGAACACATTGACCATTTTAGCCTCCTCAATAGAAGAGATAAAATAGAATCACAAGCAAACTGAAGACAACACACTGAAACACCATTTCTACATATCAAAAAACCATCCACTAAATCCACCTCCTTCGCCCTGTCAAACAACCCACCCAGAACACCAACCATTAATGTTAAACAAAAAGGGAGAAAAAAGAGAACACCCTCTCTAAGACTCCTAGTGGGTTTAAAACTATCACCCAATTTTGCTGAAAATAGATAACCCTACATCCATTTCCTCCATATTACTCCAAATTCTTTCTTTCCATAACAAAATCCAAGAATCCCCACTTCATGTGGTCATAGGCTTTTTTCAAGATAAGCCTTGAAAATAACACCTTCATTGTCTTGAGATCTATACACCACTGCCTCATTTACTATTAAAGTTATATCTAAAATCTAGCACCTCAAAAAAAGGACCCTGAGAAAGAGAAATGGTATCACCCATAACTACTCACAACCTATGCTACATGGACTCTTCTAAATTTCTAAAATACTCGTGTAAAACACATTACACTTGTATAAGGATACAAGATATGTATTCAACATGCCTAGTTTGAAATGCACCTAATAAGTATGTATAAGTAATCAAATTATGCATAAGACTTCTATTTACCTATAAAAATAAAATAAGTATTTAAGAAATACGAAATCTAGTCTTGTCATGCTGCCCTTCACATTACCTATAAAAATAAAATAACTATTTAAGAAATATGAAATCTAGCCTTGTCATACTGCCCTTCACATGAGAATTAGATGAATCTAACTCTTAGACACATACAAAAATTTCAACAAAGGCCTTGATCTAATCAAGCTTAACAACAACAAAGCAATCTTGAAAAACGGTCATACTAAAATCATCAGTCTGCAGAAATGTTTCTCCGTCACAATAAAAAATTGTCTCTTATTTCCATTTCACCGAAGGGTCTTTCCAACCAACTAGGCTTTTCTTTTTCTTTTTCTTTTTGATCAACAACAGAAAGAGATTTCATTAATTAGAATTTAAATGAATATAAAAAGAGGACAAGAAGCCATCTACAAATGAACCCAAACCAATTGGAAACCAATCCAACCTTCCATCCCTGGTCAATTTATCAAACCCAAAGAATACAACCTTAGTAAAAATAAAAAAACTCATTAATGATTTGGCCCTCTCTTTCACAGTCCTCTGAAAACCAAGCTCAAGCCTTCTTATAAATTTCTAATTTCCTTTTTCCCATTTGCAACATTATGAAACAGGTTAGAAAGAACATTTAAAGGAAAACATATAAAGGAAAAAATAGTCATTTGAGATGAAAAGTAGGATGCTGTATTTCGAGCTATAGATACATCTTGAAATCAAAAGATACTATGACATACATTTAGTTCTACAACAAATCAAAAGGCCTTCAAGATTGTTTTGAGAAGAGGGGATTCTGAGAGAGAGAGAGAGAGAGAGAGAGAGAGAGAGTGAGATTCTACCCCGCATCATTGACTTAAATTTAAAACTTGTTGTAACTGATTCTAGCTCACGACTTGTAATTGTATAGCAGTCCACGTGCTTTACCTGTTACCAAGTTAACAATCAATTTACAAAGCTTAACATCAGGATATTGCCACAAAATATTTATATACATGTAAGCACGCCATAAATTAGTCTTCTGGGAATCACACAAGACACAACCTCTAGGCAATATGACCTAAAGAAAACAACTTCAGGCATAGCTGAACAATTTCGAAACTACCACTCACACCAATACAATACCCCCAAAGTGCATGCCACTCGTAAGGCACATGCATCATAACATGACGATCAACTTACGTAAACAAAAAATATGCATCATAGAAACTGAGAATCGAAGACCTGTAATGTAAAGTTAAGAACCAATATTTCCCTTGCTTTGATAACTGCTTAAGACAAGTTTACAATACTTATAAAGTGGGTTGTTGACGTATTGGAAAAATTCCAGTGTAGTTTTCAATGGGAGGACGGGGATGAGAAGATACACAGGAACTTGAGGCATTTGATCATTGAAAATTCAGAGTACGTGTGAAAGAAGCAAACATAGCATCCATCTCGAAACATGTGAAGCATGAAATAAATCGGCACTGCATCGATTATAATTTCCCAGCCACCAGCCACTTGCCACCAACCACTGGCTCACAACCGACCACCAGCCGTCAACCACCATCCACTCACCACCACTTCTCTCCCCTCCCCTTCTCACCTTAACCCACCACCATCCTCTTCCTCCAGCCACCGGCTACCAACCAACCACTGGCCACCAGCCTCCTAGCATCACACACAACCTCATCTCTCTCCTCTCTCCACCAAGTCCCACCACCATCCTCTTCCACACCACCAGCCACCAGCCACCAACCACTTCCATCTCCCCAGAAACTTATAGAATTTAGCTATCAGAGATTGGGTGTTTAGAGGAACTTATGAGGCGTTTGATTATTGAAAATTCAAAGGATTGTGTGTGAGAGGAGCAGCTGCTTGCCAGAGGTAATTATATAATGTGCAGCGTTCATTCAACTAGTTTATATTCAGAAGATGTGCAGGGATTTGCTGCAAACCATGTCTCTTTAAGAGGAAAAGGATCAGGTGAAGAAAGGCCATAGTGGCAGTGCCTCACTGCAGTTTTCGGTGATGATTGGTATGTGGTTTGAGGACTCATTACCAGCTTTTGGCTTACTGGAAAATCATTTATGATTAAGCTTGGTAACTTTGGGATTGAAGATTTATCATTTTTGCTGGTGTTCTGAAATGTAGGTTGTATTGTAATTCTCTGTTTGAGCTATGGTGTTTTGCTTAGTTGATATCTAGCCAACCTTATTTCTTTCAGTTTTATTAACCTTGGGCGCTGCTTTTTCTTGTTTTGTTGGGAGTTTGTGTCATCGTAGTTGGGAACGCTTTTCCAGCATTAAGAATGTTTATTTTGAGTGTTATTGATGTATTAGTGAGTTGCTTAAAATGTACTCATTTGATCACATCAATAAAATTTTCTTTTGCCAATCCAAAAATAAGCCTACAATCCCTATATATATGTATTTCACACTAGACTCAAAAAGACATCGAAGAACAACAATAAGAAACTAAAAAATTTAAAAGAATAATGTCAAATAAAACCTCTTGTCCTCTTTCCAGTCAAATAAAGTAAAAAACATTGAAAAAGGTAAAATAAAATTAAAAAAGCAACAGAAAGACTTTCTTGACTATGAGAGTACAAATCATGCCTAGTCTTGTCCCCCTTTTCATAATCTTTTAACAGACACAAAGTAGGCAAAGGAAAGATGGAACTTACACCTAAAAGAAAGGTTCAAAGGGTCAGAGAAAACAAGAGCCATCTACAAGAAATGTGAGATGAAATGCAACTAACAAAATTGAAGAGCAGCCATTACAAAAGTATAATGATGTCCACCCCCAATCCCCCCGAGAGAGAGGAAGAGAGAACAAAATGAAGGTATCGTTGGGGAGGAGGTGTGCATTGAGGGACAGGAAGACTATTCTAGGAGAGCAACAGAACCAAAGTGCTCAAACATCAGATCTCCTATCTTGAAAAGAAGTCAACTTCCAAACAGAAGATGCAGCCTAAGGAACTGAAGGTGTCAACAATCTATTTACAAGTTTGGAGCACATCCATGGACCAATAAGTGTTTGGTTGGCACATCAGTGCCCCTTTGATGAACATTCCTCCAGCAAAATCAAAACTTTGAATCATAGTATTGTGAACTCATGGAAACTGTTCTTACTTTATACACTGATAATTCAGATTTGGGTAAGGTGGTCTCCAAGGACAGAGTTGATCCACCCAAAAAAAATAGAAGCAAAAATATTTTGCTATTTAATTTCAGGAGAGGTTCCTCCTACCCTTCAAAAGAGACCAGACTGCCATACAATCATCAGATCTGGAAGGTTTTAACTTTTATCAGGTCAATATGTAACAAAAGATAGAACCTGCAAGAATATAATCAAAACCCAGCTGAGTTAGTCAAGTGGTTCAGGTTTGGGATCCAAGACTCCAAGGTCGCACAACCAACAAGAAAGATGCTTCACATAATTTCCCAGCCAAAATGAGAAAATAAGAAGCATCTCACTGAAGCATTTCATTCCTTAACGAAGAGAAAACACTTCTAACATCACATTTCCTTTCATACATCCACTTCTACTCACGGATTAAATGACATAAGGAAACTGTTAAAGCCAAAATTAAGAGTGGACGGCAAGATTATCAAGTTTGGGAAGGTAAGGACAATTAATTCATGGCTAATAATGAAAAAGTTATTAGCAAGAAAATTTTCCATTAATGATCATAAAGATATATTGTCATACACGAATCAAGACACTTCAAAGGAGTTCATAAAAGTTTGTAATGAAATTGTAGTTGCAAGAGAAAATAATTCACATCCTAATATTGTTTGTGGTGTAATTGTAAGACTAATGAAGAAGATTTAAATACTCAGAGGAAGTTCTACAAGGAGATCTTGACATCATTGAAATGAAATTTCAGCTATATATCATGAAGAAAGTCAAGACAAATCAGAGATTGTTGAAAGGATTGAAACTTATGCCTTCGAATTGGAAATTACTTCAAAGGAGGAAACTGCCCAAGTTGAGAATTTTGCCATAAAAAGTGAAAATTCATCGAAGGAGACGATTTTAAAGATCCAAGATCCAATAAAATTACACAATTCAGTTCATTCACAGATGGATGTTAAGGAAGGAAGAATTGATTTTATTGGTGTCAAAAATTTTGATGTGATTTTCAACATACATTTGATTGATCTTGTCAATCAATTGAAGATTAGCTTGAAGAAAATTTTGCACAAACAATTCATGGGGATTTCTTGGGGATTACAACTTAAGAAAATGAGGTATTCAAAATATCTCTTTATTTGGCATGGAAGATAGCAGATGGAACTCGAGGACAAGTTCTTTCAAGGAAGAGGAGTCAGATGTAAGACGAGATTTTAGGAATTTTTATATTTTTAATTTTAATATATTATTTGATTAGAATTCTTGTAATTTAATATAAATATTTTAGAATTATTAGGTTTCTTAATTTGTTTTGATTTTGTTTTTCCTAATTTCTTAAGTTTCTTGTTTTCCAAGAATAAGATTAGTTTATTGTTTCCTAATTTTAAATATATTGGTGTCCAAGTTTACTTGGTCTCCGAGGCTTAGTTCATGATAAATAACTATGTAAGCCTTATGGCAAAGACAACTTTGATGCAATATAATTCAGTTTCTTAAGAATTTCCTCTTTCTTGTGGATTCAAGGTTTTATTTTCTCAAGGATTTGAGAGCCCTTTTCGTCTACTAGAACAATATCTAGTCCCCCATGTATTCCACTGCGTCATTAACGATCCATGGAACAGTAACCAACAAGATTTCCTTCTCCTCAACATTTATCTTGGATGATATTGCCCTTGTATCTTAACAGCAAAGGACTACTTTTTCCATTTTTTGTCGAAAGGATGGTGAAGTTTGAACTTTGAATACTCAACGGTGAAAGCAACTAATCAAACAAGCTCTACATAATAGATTCCAAAAATTCTAAAAATTGGTTCAAGGATGGATCAACTCCACCCAAAAACCAAAAATTTAGCTCGTCAATTTGAAAAGAGGTTCTTCCACCGCATCAAAGGACCTCTTGTAGAATTCTCCCCAAACCAACAACACAACAAAGAAGGATAAGAACATGATTGACAGACAAAAGATCTCTAGCCATCCTACAACAGATAAGAAGATGACTGACTGATTCCCTGTCCTCCCCACCCATATTACAAACTCACATGAATTTGCCTCATAATCAAATCATCAAAGGTCAAACCCCTCCATGGCAAAAGAGATGCTCTATGACCCACCAAAACTTCATAATAGAACTTTATGTCAAATCTATCTGAATTCAATCTCAACCACAGCAAAACATCATCTCTTTATCCAAAGAGTGGAAGGACATAACGAAAACTAAAAAGCTCCATCAACTCCTCCACCTCCAAATCATTCATATATCTCTCTCAAAAGCAATGTCCCAACAAACTCGGTTACCATCTTTTATCATCTAACTAAGCTCTACCCAAATCATGTGAGCTTATGTCCATTCAAATATAAATATCCCGTGACCGTGTGTGATATACTCAATAGATCTAGCTCAGATGGAGCCTAGAGACAGCTCTCCAGTAGAACAATAGTCCTCTTGAAAAAGTGAAGCTTTATGGTTCAAATCTGCCGTCTAAGATCACGTAAATGGTGCTACAAAAGGAACTAAGTGGTTTTAACATCTGGACCATTTTTTTCCTTTATCAGAAGCCAATAACGAATACTGGTCTTATTTTTGTCCGTTGTTTCTGTATTCATCCATATTTTCCATTTTACTTTTTCTTATAGGTAGTTTTCATGTTTTGTAGACCCACCAACAATAATAAGACTATATTTAACTTGAAATGCAAGAAAACTTTTAAAAACTGCAAAGAAGTTAATTCATTGAAAAACCGAAAACAAGGGAGCTCACCACATGTGGCCATGTCAAAACATTTTCACCGGATATTGTTTCAACAGATGGCTCTTCAAATGCACACTGCTTTGCTAACGGTAACATAGCAGACACTGCAGTCAATAAGAAAATGGCAACTGTTAAATGAAAAGTAAGCCCACGAAATCGAATGGTCACATAAGGGACAGTTAAAAGGAAAAATGAACCCATCAACTACTCAAGTACTAAAACCTGAAATTAAATGAGAAAGAATTCCAACATATAACTCTATAACCGCAAACTGTACAAGAATTCCAAAGGTTATATTTAAAGTATATGATAACTTACAAGGTTAGAATAGTAATTAACACAAACACATAACAATTCAAACCGAAAGGGTAGGAGAACGTCCAAAGAGGGAAAAGGAAAAAGGAAATGGATTAAACAAACCAAGGACTATGAGCATGAAGGCCTAATCAACTACAATTGAAGGTAACCCAAATGACACTCAAAATCAAGGTCAAAACCATGTCTATATATATTATAAAATTCAAATTGAGTGTTGATTTCTGAAAAATCCAGGAAAAATGAACCTTAAATTTCATAAGAGAGATAACATCTCACTGTTATGACTCTAGATGGTTGTTATCTTGGCATTATAGATACTCACTATCAATCCCATAGACGTTGCGCCAGAAATCAATGCTTTCAGTGTATCTGTCAGGATGTGTGATGGGAACCATGTACAACTGCACAGTAAAGACTAAATCAGCACTAAAATAACTAGTTCAATTCTAACAACTATCAGATTCTAAAACCCAACTCAACAGAGTCCTACCCAACTCTTGAGGTTCCGTTACAGCACGGTCTAGGAGAGGCAATAGGTACACAGCCTTACCCCCACTTTTTGTGGAGAGGCTGATTCCAATGGCTCAAACCCATGCCACAAGGCTGTGAGTGGATAGTACTTTCCATTGTGCTAGACCGGCTATAAGAAATGAATCTTAATTCAAATTGTGTTAAGCTAGTAGTATAAAAATGTAAAAAATAAAATAAAATATTTGACAAGGACACCATTAAAGAGGGCACCAACCAGATGTAATCATAGTCGGTATCAAGACATGTCGCTGTATCAATCACAACGTATTGGTATTAGGAGTATAGAATGATACTGAATGATATGTACCAGGAATCGGATGTCGCGGTTGTGAATTTTTTGAAATTATAAGTAACTCCTCTAAAATTAATATGCATTCTTCAACTCTCCTAAGCTTAATTTGTTGCATTATTTATTCATTTTGAAGCATTAGTTAACTCTACCCATGCCCAGTGTCCATTCCCATGTCCATTCTAGTGTCTGTCTGTATCCATGCATCTTAGAGGTCCCCTATAGCTCAAAAAACTGCCTCATCTCACAAATAAAGGGGGGGGGGGGGGGGGGGGGGGGGGGGAAGGGAAGAAAGATAATAGGCCCCTCCTCCATCAACAAATTCAACTCCCACCAGGACTTCCCAATACCTTGCCATTGAAGTTTGAATTATTATGAAAATCTTCTTAATTGTCAATTCCAATACGAGTTATAAAAGCTTGTTCATATAAAACAATGTGTCTAATAAATAGTGTTGCAGCAGTCAATATTTACGAAATAAGCAAAATTGATACCGTTGCATTCGAAGGAAGAATAAGACCTCCAGGTTTTAGCCAACGGTCTCTGGCAGTAATAATGCTCCCTAGCATGCTCTGCAAAGTAGTAGAACCAAGTTCCACCAAAACAATACGAACAAATAATGAATTGTCAAACTATTTAGTACACATTAAGATTGTACAAAATGACAAAACTCAGCATGCAATCAAGCACAAACATGTCGGTAATCACCTCATACAGAAGCATGTAGCCCATCCACTCTGAAATTATAACATCAACCTCTTCATCAATTTCAACATCCTGTAGTGATCACTGATCAAAGTCAGTATGATTAATGTAAGGAAAAAATCAAAAAGAAAAGGCACTACCTTATTAGCTGGCTTAGAAAGAAGAATAAGTTGGAGAAGGAAAATGAAAATATTCAATACAATAAAATGATTTTGAATATGAACTTATAAAGCTGGGAAAGGCTCACATGTCTTACTATTGGTCCACAATGCAGCTAAATAGCTAATATGCATCATTATTTGTCCCACAAAAATTTAACAAGTATCATGGTATTATAGCATGTTAGTCATATCAGGAGCCACTTCTTTCTTTTGTTTGTATTATTCTTGAAAGCAGAAAAACTCATAATTACAGAAAATTAAACAAGAACAAGCTGTAAATAGCAGCGCAAACAGAAAATAAATCAAAGCAACCTGCCCCATAAAAGTTTGGGAAGAAAATAATACACTACTAAGTATCATGGAGAACACAAAGATGTGAGGGAACAAACAAGCCAAGCTGAGCTGAGTGTAGACCTGCTCCAGCTTGGCTCAGTTGAACATCACAGAGCTCAAGCTCCCCTCAATCTCATTAAAAAGCATAAAAATTGTAATCTCAGGTAAGCAGGGGATGAGCACAAAGTAGCCTGATTGGGTGCAACTCACCATAAAACCTCCGGTGGTGATTCCAACGCATACAAAGTTGTGGGTATTCTGTCCAAGTTGATACATTAATTCGAAATTGTTTGATTAGAAAGTTTTCTTCCAGGGAAACACTGGTTGCCACTAAGCAATTCAGCAACAAATGGAAAGGTAACCATGGATATGGTCAAGGACAGTTTGCCCAGAATCCAACATTGTTGATGTCTAGCACATTAACTAATTTCAGTAAACTTTTTCATATATAGACCACTAAATTTCTCAATAATTAATAAGATAATTTAAAAAAATAATAATAATCGTAGTATCCATAGGATATTGATTTTGGAGTAGGTCCGTGATTGTAGTATGGCAACACTACATATTCGGACACTAATCCATCTAGTTAGATTCACATTTTCATGAATGAAGGCAAATAATTTTGGAGCAGAACTTCAAGTTTAAAATCATTAATTCTTCAAGTGAAAAGTGGAGGGACTCCATTTATTTGGATGTGGTAATTCTGGTAGGCATCAAGACCTAAATTATCTGTAGCAATTTGATTATTAAAAAAATGAGAAAGAAGACACGTATTATGTCGGTGGCATAATTAAATTTGTTCTTGTGGTATATTTTAACTTTTAATAGCATTTTAGTATCGTAATAACCATGCAGTGATGAGGGATGATGTGTCATGTATACTTATGCTTGTGATTGAGATGCAGAAGGAAAGAATATTCAATGATAAATCCCCACATTGTCGGTTAGTATATTATGGAAGCTCAGGTTCCTACTGATGGTAATTATGGGTATATTTCTTACAGAGAGGGCTTCAATCAAAAACATAAGCTGCATTTATATGAGCCACAACAAAAGTATCTGCAGCACCATTAGCATCTCTATAACCGAAATGTACCAAAAATCCCTGGCAATTTAGTTGATGGGATGAATAAGGAATGGTTGTAAACTGTGGACCAATAGAAAACACGACCACCAAGGAATTGAAAGGTAGACGATAGTTGTAGCTTGGTCCGCATATATACATTCTAGTGTCCAGTAACATAAAAAAATGTTGCCTAAATCAATCCAACAAATTCCTTGCCACAATTAGGAGCTCCTTATATGACCGGCCCCTCTATAGTGCCACACTACAATTCTCATTTTTTGATTGATTGGGGATGGGATTGCAGAACTGGCTGAGGGTCATTCAAAGTTCAGTGGCGTCACATGGCCTCCTCACTCCATTGTAGGTTCAAGGCGGGTTGGTCAGTCACTACATTCGCCAAACAAGTAGCTATGAAGCACGGATACTCCAAAAATGGTGCCGTACAAGTACTGGGTACTTAGCGGGTGCGGGTGCGGGTGCGGGTGCGGGTGCAGGTGCAGGTACGCGTACCAAGTACGGCAAATACATTTGGGTATGGCATGGGTATGTCGTGGCTACAGCATGGGTACGGCAGCGGTACGGCTTTGCAACTGCTAGAATTTGTTGTATCCTTTATTATTCTTCTTTCAATTTTGAAAATATCAAGTAATTTATTTCCAACACTCTTTACTCATGAGTCATGATTTTGCTCTCTTTTGCATCGTGTTTTAGACAATCAAAAAAGAAAAAGAAAGAATTATATAACCTTTTAGACAAATTGTTCTCTTTTTAATTTTGATATTGAAACTTTGATTTGTTTGTTGAATGTTTAACTATAAATTTAAAAAACAAAAAAAAAAATTAAATAAAAAAATTTGATGTATCTCAACTGTACCCGTACCCTAACCCTACTTTTTTAAGAATTTGCTATATCAGCCATATACATATTCGCACCCGCACCCGCACCTGTGCTTCATAGACAAGTAGTCTCAATGATGAGGCTTAGACTACTGTCAAGACTCAAAAAAATGTGAGGTACCAAATGAAATGGTTGTATCAAAAACTTGTTTTTGCATAGTTTCATCATGCAATTTCAAGATATTGTAAATGCTCATGCGTATTTATAAAACCTTGAGTTATTTTAACAATATCATTATCATCTCGTCTCATTTTCATTTTTAGATGATACCCCATGTGTCAACAACTTCAAAGTGCACTCTCCCACATTGATGACTTCATTAAACAATTCATATCATTTCACTTCTCGTGAAAATAACCTATATTTATACTAAAGTTTTCAAAGGCGTTCTTAGGGTGTGCATTGAGGAGAGGCGTGACAAAAACGCACCTATGAGTTGATTTTTAGGCGAAGCACCAGCTATGCGTAAGCCTCAACCTAAGAGGCGTTCCCATCAGGCACGTTTTTTGCACTTTCCACACATCAACGAGTGAGACGTGCAACCTCGAATAAGAAGAAAATATACATATCATTGACATAGATGCAGAATCTCAAATGATCAACCTTCTTCAGAGTCCAAACAACTAACAATTTAGGGCTCTCTATTTTGGCTAAATGACCTTTGGTTGGACTCTTTTTATTTATTACATGATAGGTCTCTTCCATTCTCTTCTTTCCTTTTTTTGGCTAAATGACCTTTGGTTGCACTACTTGTATTTATTGCATAATACGTCTCTCTTTTTCTTTTCTTTTCTTTTTTTCTGTTGATGTTATTGTTTTGCTTATTGGCTGATTTATTAATTCATTTTATTTTTAGGCATAAAATGGTTTATATGAGTTTTATTTGCTATTTCTTTTTTATACTCTTTTTATGCTATATTTATTTAATTTTATATTTTATTAAAAATAAAAAATAAAAAATTTAAAAGGCATATGCCTCACCTCATCAAGAGTAAAATGCCTCACATTACACTTTCGCCTTTAAAACTTTGATTTATACAAACTTGCGCATTCAATCCAATTTTCTTAATTTCTTGAACTTAAAAACAATTTTAATTAGCATAATTGGCATTTTGGTAGCACAAAATAAAAGATTAGTTCAGAACTACATCCAATTTTCATACTTGCTCATATATTCCATAAAACCATGGCAATAAAAAGTTAAGTATTTCTAAAACGAAATTTGATTCCAAAAATACTAGAAATAGTAGAAAGTTGATTATAGAGCGGTTGAGCTTACTCACCCCTTTATATTTCAAATCCAAAAGAATAGTACCGAGCAGAATACTCAGGAGATGGAATGTTTCACCTCAGGGTCTACTCCTAGAAATATTTTGTACTATGTTGGCATGTAAAATTTCATAGGAAATTGTATTAAGAAGCCCCAATAGTATAATAAAGAATTTTTTATAATATTCCAACTAAATCTTCTAATAAGTGAATATGTGCAAAATGTTATAGTTCAAGATTTCTTAGCCTTGCATGCTCATAAATATATTTTGGTGGTAACTATTGTTATATAACATAGATAGCAGTGGTTTAGGGGGTGACTATTCAAAGGTATCAGAGAAATTTCCCTTTCAATCCATCACCATCTTCTTTGTTCTCTCGAGCTTCCATCTCTTGGTCTATCTCTTCTACCGTTGCTCATGGAGCACAAATGAAGCACAGGTATTCCAAAAATGTTGTTGTACAAGTACCGCGTATGGGTATGCATACCGATACGGTTGCACGCGTACCAATTACACCATATACCGTCTAGAAGAGTTGGGTACACGATGGGTATGTAGTGGGTACTCCATGAATATGGGGTTGGGCAAGCCGGGGCAAAAAATAAAATTTTTAGAATTTTTAAGGGCACCGAAGCAATTCTTTTTTGCACATTTTGAAAAAATAAATGAATTTAGGGTATTTTGTAATAATAAAAAACATAAACAAATAAGGTTTAAAAATATAACTCTCGTTCCTCTTCTTTGTCGATGGTCGTTCTCAAATCTCATTCAAAGAACAGCATCGGCGATTCAACTCTCCTTCGAAGACGACGGCAATGGTTGATGACGAAGCTCAATGTTGCGATGAGTTTTTCTTAGTTCCACTTCTTCGATTCTTCCTTTCTTCGATTCTTTTCCGTAGCCACCACTCACAGAGCTAATAACCATCCGACATCTCCCACCATCTAAGTTTACCATTTTCCTGCGAGTTCCTGTGAGTTTTCTTATGTCCTCTTGCAGCCAATCTCCTCTTCTTTGACTCTCTTCTTCTTCGATTCTTCTTTTTCTAATCTAGATTTTTTTTTTCCCCACATTTTTTTTGTTTTTATTTTCCCCCATGGCAACTAAAATTTGATGCTAGTCTATAGCCTTATTCCTCTTTAACCATCTTCAAAAAAAATTAGGTAATGCAGAATCACCCAATTTGTTATTGAGTAACTTTGTCCTCTTTTATTTTTGTTTAGCTTGTTGTTGGTATGAAACTCTCTTTTTCTAATTTCTCTTATGTAATGACATTAAAATAGCTCATTAACTTTAGTATTGGTATTGTTGAACAATGATTTATTTTTTGGTTTTATAATTTCTTTTTAGTTATGGTATTGAACTTTGATTTGTATGTTGGATGTTTAACTATAAATTTTAAAATAAATAAATATTGACGCATCCCAACCGTATATGTACCTTACTTTTTTTAGATTTTTGCATATCAACGTACCCGTATTGATATCCATACCCACACTTCATAGTGGAGCACTCTTCCACTTAATCCTCAATTTCCACTGCTTCACCCTTTCCATGCCCATCAAACCTTCACCACATCAGAATCTTCTCAACGACCTACCTCCACCAGCAAACCCCATCGAAGAAATTATTCCTTGACCTTTTCTATTACGATCTTGAAATCGCATAACCAAACTAGACAAAAATGAGTTTATGATACAACCATTATAGCTGGTACCTCACATTTTCTGCGTCCTGAGTATTGTCCAAGTATTGTCATTGATGTTAGTCAAGAGCGCCAAGCATTTACACATGATAATGAAGTTCAGTACAGACTAAATACTATAGGGCGGCTGGTCATAGGACCAATATAGACCACATTTCTTTATTGTACTAAATACTTGAATGCATGCAAACCATGCCACAGCTATCCTCATTCATCTACCTTTCTTTGTGCCTTCCATTGGCCTTCCAGGTAGCATTTGGAACTTACGGAATTCCTTTGAAGTTTCCCAAAGACAAATACATGGTTACTACTAGAACAACTTATGCTAAAGTATATCTCCAGTGATGGACCATGATCCTTCCATCTTATCCACAGTTTAAAACCATCCCTATTCATCCCATCATGAACAACAGGAAGGGTATATGGATATGTAGCCCTTGCTCACCAACTAGAGCAGACAAGGGCATTGTGCTTCTATGGTTCCACACCCTAATCTTTCACAAAACAAATTGTCCGTGACAGTTCAAGGGTCCTTGCTTAGTTGGTTAAAATAAGGGTTCCAACAACCTAGCCATCAATTTACAATATTAAAATAAAAAATAAAGCAAAAAGACCATGTTCAGCAAGAAATTAGAGAATTTAGTAATTTCTTTTCCCATAAGAAAACCCCAACAACAATTTCCCTGAAGGAATAACTTTACAAAGTAACAAAATCTATTAAAATACGAAATTGTGACAATTGCCTAAATATTACATATTTTTATCATGGAAGGACCTAACTTGACCTAACATCATGGCATGTTCGTACGAAACCATCTACTCAATGTTAGCGACCCAACAACATCAACCCAATCTATTGCGCATGATTACCAAGCATGCACACAAGCTTAGCCAGTACATTACAAATGCAAGCTTTCTCCTTTGATAGTCATGCAACTATAACTTGTTGCCTTCACCTCATGCACACTTCAACAATCACCAATGCAAATAATCATTGAAAACTAATCCAATTGTGTGCCCAAACAAACTAGTCTCTTTTGGTTTATCTATTTTCAATAGTTAGGCCATGCTTGGGTAATCATGACTCATGAGCATTCAAACACAAACATGCACTGCTAAATATCTCAGGGCACTCCAACAACTTCCAACGCAGTATTTTCAAATTCAAAGCCAAATTTAAGCATTCGTACATATTTACATAGATATTGTATCTTCAAATCAATAGCAGCTGCAATGATGACAACATTTAATAGTACATGGTTGTCAATGCCTAAAACAAGAAAAAATTGCCATAACATGTTCTTGTTTTACAAACACATGCAAAATTTATAGTTTGATTCTACATTTTCACAATAAATCTTCAGACATCTCGTATTAATTTTAAAAGCTGGTTCCTTTCACCAAAGGAAAAGATTCCTACTGTTATTAAATAATCAAAATGAAGCAACTACCCAGAGTGTCAAACAACCCAATCACAAACAAGCAAAACATAAAACATCCCTGCTAAGCACAAAGAATATGTTGAATTGTTTAGAAAAGCATACCTCTATACGTCCATGCAAAACAATGACTGTGTCGGATAGGTTATTTGCCTTCACAACTTCATTCGCCTAATTAAATTTTTCAAAAGAATGTAATCAGTTCAAACCTTATATTTCAACCTTATATTTCAACCTCAATTCTGCACAAGTTATGATGTAAATTATACAAATTATCGATAGTCAATACATTTCTCATCTAAGAAGCACAAACACGCAACACGACATGGACTTGCCAACACAACAATTTTTAAAAAATGAAAGACATGACACATGAGATAAATACAAAAAAAACATATAGTTTTATTAGGGGTGGGAATTTGGCACGTACCCCGTTAACACAACTCAAATCGTACACATAATTAGAGAGTTAGGGTTAATCATTTTTTTACTGGAACCCAAATATGAGACGACATGAAAACACGAATATTAAATGGGTCATGTTTGGGTTGAACATGAACACGCGAAACTCAAAATGGACATGTTTGACCTACGTAAATATTCATGTCTACACGAACCCACTATTGACACACATGTAACCCTGAATAGAACCTGAATATAGTAACCAAAAGATCTTGAGTAATTCATTCTCATCTGTTAGATTTAAACTTAAATTTCTATATAATATATACCTAAAGAAGTACAACCCTAAATTAATGATAAATCGGCAAAAGTCAAGATTGGTAAACATGATAGTTTTTGAATGTGTGGCAGCAGTGTTTTTGTGGCAGAAGTCAATGTAAAAGAATCACAACAATGTTACTTTGGATGTGGCATAACTGCAACATTATTATTATTAGTCTGGTATTGGATGAAAACTTGTTTTTCTTTTAAAAATTTATTGGATATTTAAATATTAATGAGTGACAATAGTTTAGATTGGACGTGTAATGGATTAGTGATGAATATTTTTAATTATTTTCACAGATACTGGCCTATATATTATCATTGTGTGTCAATATTTCAATAAGTTATTCTTATGCATGTGATGTGAAATAATTTTTTTTTTTTTAAACAATTTGCTTATAATCTAAAATATGAACTTTTGCTAATTGTATTAAGCGTGCCATGTTAGGGTTTAACCTAATTATAAGTAGGCCATATCAGTATCAAGATAATTGACACGTTTAATTAAATGGGCCATGTTAGTGTTGGATTGTTTTGAACACGAACCCGATATGACACGACACGGCACAATTCCCACCCCTATGTTTTATATACTTGCTATATGCCATTTATATATTTTTCATTAAAAAATAATATTTAAAAATGCAGCATAACACTAAAGTTTAAAGGAGGAAGAATTAATAGGCATGAATCTATATTTTTTTCTTTTCATTCTATCCTAAGTTGTTTTATTGAAGCTTATAATGTGTTTTGTGTTTATCTAACGACAGAGATGTGTGTCTCCCAAGCCATAGAAGAGTATCCTGGTCTAATAATAATAATAATAATAATAATAGAACGTGCTTGGACAGGTGTCTTGACACTTGTCGGTAAGTGTCCAAAGAGAACACAACATCTTCTTAAAAGTGTGTGCGCTTTTTAGTATCTCATACACATACAATATCTAATCAGTTTGTTAATTGATTGTAGCATTAAAAAACAAAAAATGAACTAAACCCTAAGCAGTATGGAATAGATAAAGGAAAATACACAAATCTAAAATTTTACCATCCAAGATGTCCTCTTAAAAGAGAGATTGATATAGACTAACTACGGAAGTAATTTTATGGTGAAATATATAGAAATAGAAAAAAACGACAAGTGGTGACAAGTAGCTTGCAAGCAACCAACTCCATAACAAGTGAGTGATGAACTACAAGCAACCACATTTATGACAACTGAACAAGTGACAAGCTACTTCTAAACAGCCAACTCCAAAGTAGGCTAACTACTGAGTAATTTTATGGTGAAATACATAGAAATAGAAAAAGAACGACAGGTGGTGATAAGTAGCTTGCAAGCAACCAACTGATGGACAATGAAGCACACGTGCGGGGGTGCGGGTACGGATATTGATATGGGTATAGGTACGATACGGGTACACCAATACAGCAAATTCTTAAAAAAGTATGGTACGGGTACAATTAGTGTACGTCAATTTTTTCATTTTTTTTCTTTAAATTTATAACTAAACGTCTAACATACAAATCAAAATTTCAATATCAAAACTAAAAAGAGAATAGGTTGTCTAAAAAGTTTTATAATTCTTTCCTTTTTTTTTCTTTTTTATTGTCTAAAACATGATGCAAAAGAGAACAAAAACATGACTTATGGGTCAAGGGTGTTCGAAGTAAATTACTTGATATTTTTAAAATTGAAAGAATAATAATAAAGGCTGCAACAAATTCTAGCAGCTGCAAAAATAAATAAATAAATAAAATCACCTCGTCGTACAGGTGTCATACCCATGACGTACCCAAATGTATTTGTTGTACCCGACATAAATTCGACATACCCGGTACACATACTACCGTACCGGTACGCATACCCGCACCCGATAAGTATTCGATACTCATATGGCACCATTTTTGGAGTACCCGTGCTTCATAGGTGATGGACTGCTACAAGCAGCCAACTTTATGACAACTAAACAAGTAACAAGCTACTTCCAAACAACCAGCCCCAAAGTAGGCTAACTACATAAGTAATTTTATGGTGAAATACATAGAAACATAGAAGGGGAGGGGGGGAGGAACGAAAGGTGGTGACAAGTAGCCTGCAAGCAACCAACCAACTCAATAAGAAGTGAGTGATGAACTGCTACAAGCAAACACTATTATGACAACAAAACAAGTGACAAGCTACTTCCAAACTGCCAGCTCCAAAGTAGGCTAGGCTAACTACAGAAGCAATTTTATAGTGAAATACATAGGGTTTGTTTGGTAACCATTTTGTTTTCAGTTTTTCGTTTATATTTACAAAAATTTTAAAAACTAGCATAAAAACTTGTTTGATAATTTTTTTTAGTTTATAAATAGTTAGTCTTAGTTTATAAATAAGGGTGAAAAACAAAAACAAGAAAAATTTGTTTCTCGTTTTTTAAAAACCAAAAACGCAAGCAAAAAACACAGCAGGAAAAAAAAAAAGTTTGACTGCGCTTGTGAGGTTTGGTGTTCAAAACTTGGGAGACACAATGTTAAAGCAAATTAAAGGTAATATTATCTTCTCTGTTCTGAACCATCAATGGTAAAAAAAGACTAGCTCTCTTTCGCTTCTCTCTCCTCATCAACGAACCCTCCATCATCGAGCTGCTCTACATCATCAACAAACTTCCAACCTCCAGGTCTCTTTCTCCTCTCTATCGGTGCTTGATGGAGATCCTTGGATTCTGCATCGAAGAAGAAGAGAAGAAGAGAACCTGCTGCCGACGAAGCATACTCGGTGCCAACAAAGCCATTCTTGAAGAAACTTGAACAGATTTTTGGTGATTCTTTAAAATTTTTGGTGATTGTTGATGATTCTTGCATTGATTCATGGTGATTCTTTAAAAAAATTCTCAAATAATTCTTCTCTAATTGATTTAACATAACAGTAAACCTTTGTCTTCTTTTCTTCCTCTTTGTCTTTTCTCTCTCTCTTCATCTTCGTTCTTTTAAGAGTGGAGATTGAATGGGACCATGGTTTGTATGTGTATATTATTAGTAATAACATATTATAAAATTATAATTTTATGATTTTAACAGTGGACAGTGAATGGGACCTTAGTAATAACATATTATAATTTTATGATTTAAATGATTTTCATTGTTATAAATAATTAAAAAATAAAATAAACATTTTATGCATTAAAATTAACAAACATGTTTTTGGATTTTTGTTTTTAAAAATTTTCAAACAGTTTGTTCAAACTAAATGTGTTTGCAGTTTTTGATTTTCTAAAAATAAACAAAAACTAGTTTACAATTTTTTTATAAACATAAACCAAGAACGTAAACGTTTCCAAACGCCACCATAGAAATAGGAAGGGGAAAAAAAAACCCGACAGGTTTTGACAAGCAGCTTGCAAGCAACCAACTCAATAACAAGTGAGTGATGAACTGCTACAAGCAACCACCTTTATGGCAACTGAACAAGTGACGAGCTACTTGCAAACAGCCACCTCCAAAGTAGGCTACCTAAGGATAAGAATTTTTAAATTACCATTTTATCACTAACAAGGAAATTCATAAACACACATAAGCTAAAGATGCTTCAATTTTGTCTTAAAAAGAAATTGTGTAAATCATATATTTGGTTTAGTTGATTTCATAGGTAGGCTGAGTTGTGGCTTTGTGATCACTGTGTGTATACTGCATATTGTGTGTATCTATGAAGCACGGGTACTCTAAAAATAGTGTCGTACGAGTATCAGGTACTTACCGGGTGCGAGTACGTGTATCGGTACGGCAATACACACACTGGGTACGCCAAATACATGCCGCGTATAGCAAATACATTTGGGTACGGCACCGGTACGTCGTGGGCACACAGCACCAGTATAGCGAGGTTTTTTTTTTTTTTTTTGGTGCAACTGCTAGAATTTGTTGCAGCCTTTATTCTTATTTCAATTTTGAAAATATCAAGTAATTTATTTCCAGCACCCTTTATCCATGAGTTATACTTTTGCTCTCTTTTACACCCTGTTTTAGACAATCAAAAAAGAAAAAAAAAGAATCATATAACTTTTTAAACAAGTTGTTCTCTTTTTAGTTTTAATATTGAAACTCTTATTTGTATGTTGGATGTTTCGCTATGAATTTATTTTTTAAAAAATCGTACCCATACCCTAGTTTTTTTAAGAATTTGTCGTATCGGTGTACCAGTATCGCACCCGCACCCGTGCTTCATAGGTGTGTACAAACGTTGTGCCCCTTTTGGCACCTTTAGTAAATCAACTTTTCCTATCAAAAAAGGAAAACTAAATGCATGCTAATTTATCCACACACACAAAAAAAAAAAACTAAATACATGCTAGCCTAAACTGTAACAATACTTAATTGTATAACTAGTTTAAAAGAAATCCAGCTCATTTAGTCCTATGTGTTGTCCCACAATATTTATCAATGCAATAAAAATACCTGCACTGCAATGTCACTAGCATCCACTGCATAGACCTGGTAAGACAAAATTGTTACAGAAATGAGACTGCATAAAAAATGATATACATTGAAATGAATGAATTATGGAACAAACAAAAACATATTTGAATATTTCACTAAAAGAATACACCTAGACATACTAAAGTCTCTTATTCATACAGAAAGCACCCTATGAAGAGGATAAGAGCTTATAATAACTGCTATCTATTGTGACCTATTCAGTTAAGATTACAATCTTTTAAGTGATCACAACTGCATCATTTGAGGTACCAAGGTGATGCAACCAACATAAATGTCACAAGCAATTTTCAAGATTTACTCAAAATTACAATGTGGTGAACATGAAAAGCAAGGATATTTCTCCCTAAGGCAAAACAAAAGACAAAACATCAAGACAGACCAAATTTTTAGGATTTCCTAGGGGAGTCGAGATGGGTAAGTAAATGTGATAAGAAAGATAAACCAAGTAATATAATTAATAAATCTAGAAATACAAAAAAAAATCTCAGTTTCTTTTTTTGGTACAATAAAGGCAGGAGAATGGGGGAGATCTCAGAGTTTTTGAAATATAACACATGAAAAGTTTGAGAAATTAACCATTTAGTGAAAACTGAATCATATAGCCACAAAGGTACATACAACCCAATTTTTACCTATATGACTAGAGCAGCTAACAGTGTGTCTAATTTACAAGAAAATTGTGTATTTAATCATGGATGCTACAATTTTCAATACAATGGTTTGTACAACTTTTTGGAAAAGAAAATTTACAATTAAAAAAGACTGACACAATGCAACAAATAAGTTATGTTACGGATTTTTATACAAACTGTTAGAAATACTTCTTGCGGTAAAAAAAGGTCCTAGAGTTGTTGGGCCTCTGGGTTCCAATTTGCTACTAGCTTCTACCAACATGAAGCTTATCTCAACCATCAACCAATAATTCCTTGTTAGCTCAAATAGTGAACCTCCGCTCCAACGTTCAGCACAATGATTACTAGGTTTCAAGGAGAATGCTTGATCAAAATCACTCACTTTTTTCATCTGGAAAAGCAAAGATGTTATTCACATCATAGGCATTCATCATTTCTTTTGTTGCATTGTTTGCTCTTTGTATTTCCTAGGCATCTCTATAAACAGCAGTAGTTACAGTAAACATTCATTCCAGAAAAGTCTAACAATAGCTGTAAAAAAATATGCATTCATCATATCATGGAAAATTGTTGTACAAAGTAGAATTAATTATGCAACCCACCAACTGAAATCATTCAAGTAGGTGCAGCAAGAATTAACTACACTATGTTTGGGAACCTAGGAGAGAAAATAAAAGAAATGATTACTTAAGTAATAAGAGAAAAGAAAAGAAAAGAAAAGAAAAGAAATGATTGTGATTTCTCTCATTCTTGTTTGGTTAGGTTTCATTAAGAGAAAAGAAAAGAAAAGAAATTATTTTATTTTATATTACCAAAAGAACCTTTTTATATTTTCAATCATTTTATTTCTTTTATTTTTATAGGGACAAAATAGGTATTATGAAAATAGTGGTTTTTTTTCTCTCCCAATCTCTCCACTTTTGGGAAGATTGAAAATGAGGCTCATAAAAGAAATGAGTTTCTCTCCATTTCTTTCTATTTCTTCCCATTTCTCTCTACTTAGGTTATCCAAACAAATAAGAGAAACACATATCACTCCATTTCTTTTCTTTTCTCCCCAAATCACTCAATCCAAACATAGTAAAAGATAGCTTACCCGTTTGGCACCTGCTTGAGCACAAAAAATAGAAAGAATGCCCGTGCCACATCCAACATCCACTACAACCTGAAGCATGAGAAGACAATACAAAATAAATGTATAAATAAATAAAAAAGAGAGACATAAATAAAATTTGCAGTCTTCCAGCCACATAGATCAACTGTGGCATCCACATGAAACTTAATATATATATATATATATATTGTCTCTCACATCTAAACATTATGCTATATTGCTATGAATGTCAAGGAGGTATTAGGTGCATTACAGCATATATCTCATCGAAAGATTATGTTAGCAAGAAACATAGAGAGATTATATCATAACAGAATAGCAATACAATCTTACTTTTCCTGCTATATAATTCTGATGCTGCATAACTGCGGCTCTATAAGTTTCAGTTCGCACGCGATCCTGTATAGTCCAAGAGGAACATTAGCGAGTGAATGTTATAAGAAGCGAACAATCAGCGGCAAAGTGCAGTAGAATCCCTGAATGAAAATGAACATTGAAATCCTCATTACTCCCCTCACCCCCCAACTATCCTCGAAAAATGGAAATGCAAAAATTACAAACCCCTAGAACCCAGTAAGGTTTTTAACTTTAAAACAAACAATCGTATATGAGCATTGATCGAAATCCTCATTACTCATCGTGTTTGAGAACTAACCCAAGAGAACCCAGAAATGGTTTTTTAACTTAAATCGAACAAATGCAGTGCAGACCCAAATAAATACCCAGAGAGCTCGAATGCGAAAGCTCAATCAAATCAAAATCCAAATCCAAAAACACAAATCTATGTACTGATCGATCATCTACGAGACAAGAAATTAGTTCACAACTCAAAAGACAAACACGGGGGGTGTGGGAGTGCGGAGTAGAATGAATAAAACCTTGATCATCTCTTCGTGAATACCAACGTGAGCATAAGAGTGGAAGTAGGCCATGTCGAAGTCGGTAGGAGGAGGAGGAGGAGAAGGGGGAGGCATGTCTCTGTCGGAGGCAGAAACCCTAGTTGTTGCAGAGCCATCTCCTCCGTAGTCACGAGACCTGCGAACCCTATTGCCCCTCCGGCTCAGTGAACCACCACTACCGTTTTGGTGGTGGTAGTGGTATCCATTGCTGTAACCCTTGCTCGCTGGTCGCAACATTTTGCTTCTCTCTCCACCAACACCAACACCAACACCAACAAAACACCACACCACACCCCGTCAGTCCGAGAGAGAGAGAGAGAGAGAGATGGAGAAGGGTGAGAAAAGGGCGCTTCTATGTACACACACCCTTTCCTCTCTATACAGATCCTTCTCAATACAAAAAAAAATAAATCCTAATATATTTGACTCACTACACACATCTATCATTTCACGTATACCCCCAAATGTAAATCATACACACACACCCTCTCTCACACACACACCCGTCTGTCACCCCTCACACACACACACGCATCTCTCACACTCTCTACCGTTCCTTCCCAAAAGCTTCATCCATCCATCTGTGTCGTTGAAGTATTGGCATTGAAGGGCATTGAAATCTTCACATTTTAGGTTAGTTTACACAGATTAGAATCTTCTCATTCCTATTTTATTTGTAATGTAAGGTTAATTTTTACCATTTTCCGTCAACCATTGTAAGTGATTGTCGTGTTTCCTCATTCGGAACTGGTTATTCGAATTTTTTGTTTTTGTTCGGCAATCTAGTTTCGAAAACAAAAATAATATTCGGCATTAGAGTTCCGAATTTTCTGCTTCTATTCGGCACTATAGTTCTGAAAATATTTACTTGGTTCAGCTTTCAAGTGCCGAAAATAATTTTTTTTTTCGATTTTCAACTTCCGAATAGTAGCTTTAATTTCGGACAACAACTTCCGAACAGAATAGGTATTTTCGGTTGTGAACTTTCGAACAGGTTTTTTTTTTTTCCCTTCTTAATTAAAACACTTAATTAGAACACTTATAATAATTTAAAACACTTCTTATTTACGCACACACTCATTACACACACTCTCATTAATTTTACACACTCTCTCATTATAATTTAAAACACTTATTATTTACACACACTCTCATTAATTTTACACACACACTCATTACACACACACTTATAATTTAAAACACTCTCATTAATTTTACACACACTCTGTTTATTTACACACACACTCATTACACACACTTAGTATTTTTTGCAGATAATATGGATTCTGAATATCAACAACGTGTCATAATCACTCTTCAAAGATCCTTGCATGGTCATAGTGGTTAGTAGAGAACAACACCAGATTCAAAGCCATTATTGAGCAGTCTGAACTGTCACAGTTAGCTCGTTGCACTTATCGGTTCGTCAACAGGCTTCTAATCTCCAGTTTTGTTGAGAGATGGCAACCTGAGACGAACACATTTCACATGACAGTTGGTGAGATGACCTTGACACTGGATGATGTTGGCACTTTAGACAGTTGGGGTTTGCTAGCCGGTCTGGGGTTAAGCAGATGGATTGGTATAAGAATATCACACACCTGTATGTCGAGCACACTGATGAACCACGTGTCCATGACCATCAGGATTTCAGCGAACATGCGGATGTAATCTATTATCCTCTCTTATGCATATGTAACTTACTTTTTTTTCTGATATGTTCCCGAAAATGTGATATTCTTTTCAAATGCAGCGTATTGCACATGCACTGCAGATTCCCATTCTATTATTGACGCTGGTTATCAGGAGGGGATTCGCCATCCTTATCGACTTTACCAGTCTATCGAGAGTATGACACATGTTCTTGAAGGTCAGCACATTGACGAAGCTGGACCTAGTTCTGCTGAAGGTCGCTTTCCATCTTCGACATTGACATATAGTCGTAGGCCTAGGCGTAGGCATACAGCTGATTCGTGACATACAGTCGTAGGCCTAGGCGTAGGCATACACATGTTTTTTGGTGTTTTTTGTAAGATGACATTGTTGTAATGGTAACAGTGGTTAATATTTTCTTATTAGAATGGAATGGCAATAATGGTATTGTAATGACATTTTATTATTAGAATGAAATGGTAACAATGGTCGTTGATGGCGTACATTGTATCTCTGATCTTCCAGCTCTCTGTACCACCCTGTTTCGATGGCGTACATTGTAAATGGTTTTAAGTGTGCTTACATTGAGGGCATCTTGCTGTTTCAAGGTTACTAGGATTTCTTTTGGCCGAACCATGCTCTTTGACATATTTATTAACAATGCTTTCTCATCATTTGATAGCCTCCCCGCATATGAATGTCCCTCGAGGTGCTCCGCAGGTGGATGATTATGCAATCTGCATACTACGATCAATGTCCATTCATCGTGTGTGGTAAACTTGTGAGCCCTCATATCAAAAGGACAACCTCATATCATTTGGTGAGCAATTCGAAACATAATCGTTATAATTTCGTAGACTGAACCTGTTCAGTTGTGAATTGAGTGGTTTAATCTAACACAAAATCTGCGCAAACCTGACTTCCTTGAGTTGACACATATTCCTGCATGTTTTGTATAACATTACAAATTTTTAATGGCATTATAAAGATTAATTTGCAATTTGAAACTATAAATTTGGTATGCAGTTTGCAAATTTGGAATATAAAATGGAAAAAAAAAATTTACTTCATTCGGAAGTAGTTGTCCGAATTTTTTTTCAAAATTCGGAAGTTGAATGTTGTAAAAGTTAACTTTGTTCGGACAACAACTTCCGAATTTAAATACATTGTTCGGACAACAACTTCCGAAATTTATTACTTTGTTCGGACATCAACTTCCGAAAATACATAATTATTTCGGTAGTAGATTTCCGAATCAAATAACACAATTCGACGCTGGTTATCTGAACGACGCTGGGAAAAAAAAAAACTCACATTTCCTTTGCTCTGCTTCACATGAACACTTATTTGCTGATTTTCAGAAGGCAAATTCTCCATAACAATGATGTTTTCCCTACGGAAATGCCAAAGCCCTTTGGTTTCACTTCTAGCTCAATGAACTTGGAAAAAGCTATGAATGACACTGGTTCACTGGTTCTCAATCCTCAATGGTTCACTGGTTCACTGGTTCTCCTTCCATTTTCAAATAAGCATGCCAAACCAGTGGAACAAGCTACACACACGATGCAACAGATGTGAACTCTGAAGTGTGCATTGAGATGTGTTTTTAATTAACAATGGTGTCTAAAATAATAATTTCACTTAGGGATAAAATTGTAATAAAACTAAATATCATTAAGTGTGTGTATTGAGGGGATTAGGTGTGTGTATATAAAAGCTCCCGTGAGAAAAGAGATGGAGGGCCTTCAAATTACAAATCCGCCCCTCTTGTATGAAAAATTATTAAAATAGTCCACCCTCTCAGGTTTACCACAGAAGAGGTGTTGCTCCGACTAAGTCACAGCAGCGATCTGTTGGGAGTATGTTATTTATATAAAAATTTAAGTTAAACATAGGTTCCTAATCTCATGATCAAATTCAAATTATTTTACAAAATTCATCAAGATAATATCAATCGTTTATTTTTTAAAAAACAAATGCGCTCTTGTTATGAAGTTATAGATTTCTTATCAATTTGATTTTTTGCATGGATGATCTATTGAACAAATCCTACAATATGAATGGTTCAAATCATCAAAAAAGACTCAAAAAAACCTCTACGGGCTCACAGCAGATTGCTGATGTGATTTAGTCACAGCAGCATCCTTAGATCCCTTACCACATAGTTATATAGTGAAAATTAAATTTGTATAATAAAAAATTTATATGTAAAATAAATTTAAATCACAAGATGATATTTGTAATATTTTGAAAATTTCAGTTCATTCGAGTGTAAGAGTGAGTACTCGAGCAGTCTTTTGAACCATCTAGTACTTTAGTTTGCAATATGAAATTATGAGAGTTTGAATTTTTCACTTGAGCGCATATTTATTCGCTCAAGCAGTCTTTTAAACCATCTAGTACTTTGGTTTGCAATATGAAATTATGTGAGTTTGAATTTTTCGCTTAAGCGCATATTTGTCCGCTTGAGCAATTTGTCCCTTATGCAATGTGAGATGTTACAATCATTCGTTCACTGCTAGAGCGCCATAACTACTGTTCTACTGGTTTCTTTGAAATTAACGCATTTAAATTCCTTTTGCAGGTCAGATTCATTTCACTCCACTTCCGACCCTCTAAGCTTTCTAACTTAGATTTCATATATTTTCACTAAAAATGACCTCTAGTTCTTGAGGCAAAAACATAGAGTATGGTGAGATCGTCATTTTAAACCAATTGGATCCTTAACGTCACTCCTTGGGTTTTTTCTCATCTATTTCCTTTTCCGTAAGGTACGAATTTCCTTAACTCTCTTCAATATACTCTCATAGATAGATACGTGGTATTTTATATTGCATGAAAAATATGATTTTGAGAAGAGATTTTCGAAATGTATGTTGATGGTGGTTATGGTTTGAATCAAAATAGTAAGTCTTATATTTTAGTATTGATTATGAGAAATTGGCGTCAATAGAATATGATTATGATAATGGAGATAACAAATTTATATAAAATATTTTTGTTTAAAAATGCTGAAAAGCAAAATAAGTTGATGAGTTCATGATTGTTGGGGTTATGTTAAATATTGTGAATAAAAGTTTTGTTCATGAAAAAGAGGGAAATGATTGTTGTGAAATTGCCATATGTCATATATAATTATGTTTTGAACTAGTGGAATCAATTAATTAAAAAAATTCTTTGGACCCTCAATTTTTAATTTTTCTTTTATTACAATTATACTCTGAAGTAAAATTATATTAAAAGATATCATTTAATGGAACATCCACCTACCAAATAAGAACTAATACTATACAATATTGTATACCCACCCTCACCCCTACTCCTACCTCTACCTCTAACTATACGTATTCCATCTTTCTAAACCCTAAACCTATTACTTTTCATAACCATCTTAGACTCTGAATGTATCCGCTCCATCACCATCATAAACCCTCTTGAACTAAAAACCTTGAACTAGAAAGTTCTTTGCAAGTTTAACGAATTACTCTTCATCAGTTATTTCATTTTATAGAGCAATGGAAGACGATGACAACAGTCCTAATGAGGGTGGCATTCTATTGGTAAGTTTATCTGTCTTGCATCAACATTCTACATCGTTTTCAATCGTTACTGTTTTGTTCAAGCTATTCAGTATAAGTTTGCCAACTGTTAAGATTATGTTCGGTAACACAGTATTGATCATAAACATTTAGTTCAATATATGGGTTTCGAATAGTAATGCCAATAGTCAATACTAGT